CGATCTGCCTGTTCTGCTCCCCGCTCTGTCTCTGGTGAATTCTCTCACCCTCCGCATCTCTGGCCTGTACCCCAGTTTCTGTGCAAATAAATAAGTAAATCTTTAAAAAAAAAAAAAAAAAAACAGAATCAGAATGCTTATTCTAAAAGCCCACTGAAGCCTATGTTGTTATGAAAAAGCAGATAGGAACCTCCAGATGCCAGGCTTTGGGGAAGCTGTTGCTCTTTTTATCAGTCAGTTCTAAATCTAAATCATCAAAGCTCCCTTAATGTACATCTGTCATAATGCTATCTTTACTAAGTTGTTAATTTGAAGTTTACTAAGTTGTTAATTTGAAATTTATCCACATCTGCGAACCATGCAAGGAAACCAAAACATGTTTGTGGGATAAATCTGTTTCGCAGGCAGGTAGTCTGCAATCTCTAAAGTAGCATATGAAAAAAGGAGAAAATGATATTGAAAAGTAGTATGACAAATAAAAAGGCATATATAAATAACATACTAATCCATTATTCCAATTTTATATTATACTGATGTCAAATGAGTATTTTATAACTGCACGAATAACTAAGCACATGAACCCCAGTTAGATACAGCATAAATGTCAACAGTGATTGATAAAGAATTGAGAAAACTATTTAATTTTTGGAGAAATAAATCAACACATGTCTTATGTTCTGGACTGTCATTCTATATTACGAAAAGAAATGACACATACTAGTTTGCAGTCCTGGTTCTTCATGAGTATGCTTGGAAATCACATTAGGTCTTAATACATTCCAGAGTGCACATAATTCTTAAATAATGAATATAGGCTCTTTCTCCCACTCATAATTTGACCTTCACAAGTCCAGAAGACTGAGTCAGTAGTTAAACTGTCCAGCTTTCCCAGCCATTTTCTTAAAAGTTCTAGAATTACAGAAAGAGCATTTCCATTCCCTTTTTTCCCAGGAACCTGGTGATGATGCTTCATCCCTCCCAAATCTTCCCTCGCTCCATAAAGGCAGGTAGGATGGCATCATACCACAATAGCAAGGAGGCTGAGTAGAAAGCTGGCCAGGAAAACAGCAAGCCCATAAAAATAAAGTGTACTACAGACGGATGTGTTGGCAGAAGGCAAGTCTTCAGCAATGGATGGTGGTGGTGAGTACAGCAGGATACACCTAGGGAGACAACCAATGGGCAGGAGGACGGTTACAGATACAAGGTTAGAGAGATGCTTACAAAGTGTAACAAAAATTAAGGTGATGCAATTTTACTTATCATTTTGACAACCCTTACCCATAAAACCTTGTTTTTTTCATAAACACATTATACTCTAGTCACTCTGCATTTTCTACTTGTGTACTTTTAGCCTTGACTACATCTTATTTCATAACCTATTTTCATTACAAGTACTTTGGCCAGAATATATAGAGAAATTTTTCCAACCTCTATTTATAGAAAAGAATAGGTGTAGTTTATCAGGAAAATTATGCATTTGGTCCTTACCTGTGGCTCTGACTGAAATTGTGAAAACATTCATTGGCATTGCCCACACAGAATACAGGTATCATCAACAGTAGAGGTATCAAGCTTGAAGGAAAATAAAAAATTATCAGAATTTTTCATACCCTTTCCTCTTTATAGAATATTCTCTTATTCTCCTAACTCCATGACTCTACAAAAACATTAAATTTCTTTAAGAAAACAATCTCAAAAGCATTAACTATACCTTCTTTTCCATTTCCTACTGAAGTAAAGTAGGGAATGCATTTTATACCAACAATAATGAACCCTAAAGTCTCACAATCTCTGGGAATTGTGTCAAATAAAAATTCAATTGGGTCAAAGTGAGAGGAAAACTACCAAGAAGGTCTGTACTCAGTGTGCTTCATTTTCCATGATACCCTGGAATAACTTACTTTCATCAACCCCTCCCTGGGAGCCTTCCCTTTAATAACCAATCATTTATCCAGCTAAAAATAACCAGCTACCGGCCCTCCCTGGTGGCGCAGCGGGTTAAAGCACAGCACTGAGAATCTGAAGCCACTTCCGTATGAGTTCGATTCCCGCCTGCCGCCTGCCCCGGAGGAGACCACATGGCGAGCCAGACCTCTCCTGACCGCCCGCTGCTCCCCTCAGCAGTGTACTTCGTCGATCTGCCTGTTCTGCTCCCCACTCTGTCTCTGGTGAAGCCTCTCACCGCCCCTGAGCCTCTGGCCTGTACCCCAGTTCTGTATGAATAAATAAATAAATCTTTAAAAAAAAAAAAAAAAAAATAACCAGCTACCAGAAAGAGGAAAGGATCCAGGAGGAAAAGTTAAAAACTCTAACGTCAACTCTGATGCGATGATTACTTTAAGTGAGATCCAGACCTTTTCTGGGCTTACTCACTATAAGAATTTCACCCAGTGTTATAAAGGTGGATGATATCTTGAAAGCCATTTATTATGTTTCTTTATGATACATAAAAAGGAATTACAGAGCTCTCCCTGGTGGCGCAACAGGTTAAAGCTCTCCAAAGCCACTGCAGCACAAGTTCTATCCCCAGCCAGGGAGCTGACCCACATGGCACAGCAGACCTCTCCTGACCCGCCTGCTGTTCCCCTCAGCAGTGTACTTTGTCAGTCTGCCTGTTCTGCTTCCCACTCTGTCTCTGGTAAATCCTCTCACCTCCTACACCTCTGGCCTGTACCCTGGTTCTGCAAGTATAAATAAAT